GTAAGTTTAATTAATTAATAAATTAATTCTCAAGTACAATTATTAATTTATATAGCTACTGCGTTAAAAGAGATCCGACGATACTAAAAAGGCACCGAGCTTCTTATCAAAAAGACTCCTTTCTAGCGTCTTATTCGAAAGATCACTTACGATTTTAAACAAGACTTTAAATTTCAAAGCGGTGCTTTAAAATGTTTATAAAAAGCTTTAAAAGCATTCCTCGTAAGAGAGTTTAAAAGTAAGTACTTATATATTTATTTACTAATCGATTTACTAATCGATTTACTAATCGATTTACTAATCACTTTTAATAACGAACTTATATGCTATTCACGCTAAACGAGTAACGATTCAAAACAAAGATATAGCGTTAGTTAAGAAATTGCGGGAAATCATGATTAAAAGTTTTGTTTAGTAATTTTAGTTTATTATAATGTAATGCAATATAATTATAAAGTATAACATATGTGATTAATAAATATAATAAATAAATATAATAATTAAGTAAAATTAATAAATATTCGTAAATTTGTTTTATTTTTAGCGGCCTTACATATATTATTTTTAGCTGTCCCACTTTAAACCTATAAGGTTTCCCCATCCTTCGTAAGGAATTTGACTTAAAAAAATCCTCCTTATAAGGTTTAAAAAAAAAAGTCCCCCATCGGCCAAGACCCTATGGAGGGAATAGGGAGGAAAACCCCATGGGGCCCCCACCCCATGGAGCAGCCTAAAAGAGAAGCAATCGAATGATAGCGATAAATCAAAATACTTTAAAAAGGTATTAATAGCTATTATCGATCTTAAGCTTTTTAACACGCTCGATAATCTTGTTTTTAACGGTCTTTATAGCACGGCTGATAATAAGCATTAGCTATTTAATAGCATTCTTTTCGATAATTGCGGCGCTATTCACTTTATTAACGATAAAAATCTTTTAAAGCTAAAGTCAATTTAACGCTTTCGCTTAATCGACTTTATCGAAGCTAAAACGAATAGTCTTTTAGTCGTCGAGCGAAGTATTAAAGTCTTTAAAAGAGCTTTAAACGGACTAAATAGAGCTGAGACGGAGGATTTAAAGTTAAAAAACGTCGCTATCGTTAAGAAGTTTAATATTAATATTATTTCGGAAGCTCTTTTAAGTAAAGCTAGCGTGTAATACTCGGGATATAACGCAACTCTTCGCTACGAAAAGGTTAAAGAGAGCGTCGTATTAAGAAAGTTAAAAAGGAAGTTCAATTTTACGTTTTTTAAATACAAGCTATTTAATTATTCTTTGCTTTAATTGATTCGTAGCTCTTCTTGCTTAATAATATTCTTTACAACTTAAAAGCGCTTGCAAACACGCTATAAATTTTAAAAAAGCAGTGTCTTTCGAGCTTTAAAAGAAGATTTATCGATACTTTAGCATTTACAGATAAGTCATTTAAGCAAAAAAGCGCTCGAAGCGTTAATTTATAACGCCAAAAAAGTAAGACTTAAAAGAATTATTAAGGTTGAATATAAAGCATATGCTATTACGTACGCTTAATAAGTTATATTTCGCCGCACGTTAAATAATAAAGCAGCTAAGCTATTTTATAAGATCGCTTAAGATTTATTCGACTTTCTTAACGGTTTTAACGAGAGCAAATAATTATTAATAATTAAAAATAAATATAATAAAAAGTTATTCGGCTTCATACTAAAGGATAAGTTGCAATTGACGGTTATAAAAGTGCTAAAAGAATTTAAAGCATAAACGAGACGCAAATACGGTCTTTTAATAGCTATTATACGTTATAATAACGATTCTTTAATAATCGCAATCAACGTTATCGGCTTTACCGAATATTAAAAATAAGCGAAAAAGATTAAGATCGAGTTAGAGCTCTTATTATCTTTTAACTACGAACTTAATAAAAGAGCTAAAAGGGCTAAGAGAGAAGTGATAGAACGGTTTATTAAAATAAAAGTAAAAGCAAAGCTTTTAAAGAAGCTTTAGCTTAAGACTATACTAGCCGCTATTTACTTTTATAATATAATACCGAGAACGAAGAGCTTTATAAAAAGTCCGAATGAAGTGCTATAGCTTTAGTTCAAGTAATATTTTAAATAATACGATCCGGCGATCTTTATACGAATCGATACCGACTTAAAACTAGATTGTGACGGTTTAGTTGCGTATAGCGCTCGTACGTACTTAATAATCAAAAATCGAGAAGCTCTTCGTAATAAAAAAGCTTTTAAAGTTAAACTAAAAGAATATATAAGCTACTTAGTTAAATATATAGCTTTTAATATATATAAGGTCTATGTTTTTATGCTTTATAAAGTGATTATTATACGCAACGTAACGTTCGATAAGACTTAATTCTATCTTAAAGACGAAAAAAAATCGGTCGGCTAATCGATTAGCGAGATCAAGAGCATCGTTATTAAACTAAAAGATATTAAAGACTTTAATCAAACAAAAGACGCTTTATTTAACATAAAGAACGTTGCAAAAGATCGCTTAAAAGAGACGAATGCAACTAATATAAAAGGTGAGCAGCTGTTAAACTTTATAAAAGTTGATTTAAAAAGATCTAGTTAAAGCTTAAAGAATGCGACTTTATTTAATTCGAGCGATACATAAACGTTAAGAGCTTTAACTTTAATTAAAGACTTTATAAATACGTTTACGCTAAAAGCAATTGCTTTACGAAACGATTTAATAGACTTTAACGATTCGAATTACATCGTTAAACGTCTCGTTAGCTCTTTAGCTAAAAGCAAAAGCGAAAGTGCCTTAAGATTGCCAGAAGCAAAAAGAAGCACCGTAAACGAGCAAAAACTTGGCCTTAATAAAGAAACGCGCAAATCATACTTTTAAGTTATTATTTAAAGCCGAGGCTTAAAAAGCTAAGCTATAGGCCGACTAACAAAAGCTTTTACGTTAATAATCAGCGGAGATTTAAACCGAACAATCGAAGAAAAGCTTTTAGACCTTTTTAAAGCGAGCATTAATAATAAAAAATTAGATTATAAACACTTTAAATAGAATTCCGACTTTAGTAAAAAGCATTCACTTATTAATAGCCGCATTAAAAAACGCGCGAAGATATACGCAAGTGTTAATAAGCTTTTCTTAAACAACTTTCGCGCTGATTCGAACCGCTATTTACGCGTTTTAAACTTTATATCGACTTTTTAAGTTAATAGCGAACTCGTGCGCGGAGATAATAAAAATTACGAGATATTGCACGCTATTATAATAGCTGCTACTTCGTTTAAGATGTTATTAAAACAGCTCAACTTATAAGAACGAAAATATTTAAAACCTTTTACTTATTAAAAAGAGCTATAACGATACTTATATAGCAAGGAGTTTAAGAACGAAGCTCTTATAAAATTGAATAATTTAAAGAAAAGGAACTGTTAAAAAGTGATTCTCGAGAGCGAAGCTAAGTCAAAACTTATACTTTTTAAGTAAGTGTTTATATACAAGACTAGCTCGTTCGAAAAGATCGTAAGGTTTAGATCGAAGATTATAATTAAAAGCGACTTTCAAGACGAATCTATTATTTATTTAACTTACGCTATTACGCTAGCAGCTAAATCGTTTAAAATAATAATAGCTATAATAGCCGAATTTGATTTAAAAGTAAAACAATTCGACGTCGTCAACGCTTTTATTAACGCTATAAGACATACGGATAGCGTTTTAATTACGTATTATTTTTTTAACGGTTTTAAGTAAAAAAGTATGTTCGTAAAGGTCGATAAAGCTTTATATAAACTTAAAGACTCGCTAGCTTTATAGTATTTCGACTTTATAAGCATACTCGATAAATTAAAGCTTACGCTACTCGATAAAGAATCGTATATTTTTACGAATTTAAATAAAACAGTCTTTATAGCGTTTTACGTAAACGATATTCAAGTTATATACTATCACTTTAATCTTTTTAAAGCGTAAAAGATTATTGACGGTTTTAATAAAGCGTATAAGATCGAAGCGATAAAAGATATTAAATAGTTTTTTAATATAAGAGTCGTTCGAAACCGTTAGCGAAAAACGCTAACGCTTATGCACGACGCTTATATTGAAAAAATAGCTAAGAAATTCGAACTTACGGACGGACGCTGCTTAGCAATTCTATTACCGTTTTATAATTTAGTTAAAAATGAAAAGATAGCTTCGCGAAAGCAAGTGAAAAAGTATTAAGAGAAAGTTAAATCCGTGCTATATATAGCGATCATGCTACGCTTAGATGTAGCTTTTGCAGCTTTTTAACTCTTTTACTTTAGTATTAATTTAAGCGCGGAGCACTTCCGAGCTATAAACTAGTGTTTGCGATATTTATTTAACTCGCGCTTTAAAAGTATTTAATATAGCTAGTTTAGCAAGTCGGAGCTAGTAATAGCTTTTGACGCTTCTTACGCCGATAACGAAAAGACAAAGCGATTTTCTTAAAGGTACATTATGTTTTTGTTCGAAGATGCGATCCTTTAAAAAGCTTTAAAGCAAGATATAATTACTATATCATCTATTAAAGCGGAGCTTCTTAGCATAGCCTTTATAGTAAAGGAGATTATAGCGCTCTAACGATTTTTTAAAGAGCTGCACCTTCGATTTGCGGCGCTTTAAGTAGTTTATTATAATAATTAATAAACAATTAAGCTTATAGCTAATAAAAAGAAGCGTATCTTTACCAAGCTTCGTTACGTCGATATTTATAATATATAGCTGCGCTAAGAGCATTTTAAAAAGAGCTTTTAAATTCAATATCTTTTTATTAAAAAGATGCACGCTAACGGTCTTATTAAGAACTTAACTCAACAGAAGTTTAAGAGCTTTATTAAGCTTTTAAATTTACAAGACGCTCGCGCGTCCGTCGAGAAGCTTTAATAGCACGCTTATGCTGTTCATTTATTATATTTTTTTTTTTTATTTACACGTAATTTAAAAGAAAACATTTATTTAGCAATCTTAACCGTTATTCTATTTTATTTTACACGCTTTTACTTTTCGCTTTTTATAATAAAAGATCGATCAGAGCTTTTAGCAATCTTTTTACTTTAGCTCGGCGCTCCGCAAAAGTTATAATAACGGCGAGCGCCGCCGCGAGAACGGCAAGCGCAATAACTAGCGCAAAAAGAGCGACGATAATAAGTGCGACGAGAGCGACGGGAGCTGCAAAGACGACGAGAGCAATAAGGACGGCAAGCGCAAGAGCTGCTATAGTAGCAGATTAAAGCTTTTGCATAAAGTCCGAAAAGAAGTTTTAATTAAAAAGAGCTGCTTGAATTAAATTATTTCGTAAGTTAAAGAGCTTGACTTACGAAAAGGTAATATGCTCGAAGCGCTCCGAGTCATCGGACCACGGTTCGCTGCTATAAAACCATTTAATCTAATAAGGGTTATATTTAAATTAAAAGTCTTAAGAGCAAGAGCAAAACTTATAAAGCTACCGAGATTATTTCCAAAACCTTTACTTCTACTCGCTAGACCGCTCGTATTATTAGCAGCACCTCTTAAAAGAGCAGCATTTAAAGCGAGCTGTTATCGTACAGCATCTCGAAGACCTCGGCGAACTCTTTATATAACATTATTATTTTTAGCGCTTACGAAGTTATCGAAAGCGGTGTTAATAGCGGCAGAAGCAGCGGTGCAATTGCTATAGCTACTTTTAGCATACCGGAGATAGCGTATAACGCTCGTATCGTAATTATAGCAATCTCTATTAGACTTCGATATGATCTTATTATTAATGCATTTGATATACTTTAAAGCTTTGACGGTCGTTGGTATAAGCAAGCGCTTAATAAAAAGGTCTAAAAGAAAAAGCGAAGCTTCGAAGATAAGAGTGCGTAGTATAGCCGCCGCAGCCGCTGCAGCTGCAGCAGCAGCAATAGTTAAAGCAAAGAAAGGATTCTTTTAATAGTTAGTATAAATATATTAATCTGTTAAGAGCACTTACTTTTAAACGGCTTCGGCTGCGCTTAACGATTTTATTAAATTAAGTTACTTGCTTAAAAAGCATTGTGTAAATAGATAAAGGTTGAGTGTTTATTATAATAGAAACGAACGCGCTCTCACTTATATAGCAACGCAATAAAGACGGCGCTAAAGACTTCCGCTACGTAATAAGATCGACTTAAAAAAGAATTGCATTCTTGATTAACATTTAATTAATAATAACAATAGCCATTTATTTGTTTTAAATTGCGATGACAATCTCTTTTGTTTACATCGAGTTTAAAGAGCTTAATCATACTTTTTTTTTTTTCTTTTTTGTTTGATTGCAGCTTAACAGCTACTTTGCTAACTTGAGAAGTGTGTTGTGCGGAATAAGCATGCTCTACTTAAGCTACATGTAATATGTCATATAACCTCGCTTAATAGCGCTTTTAGCATACTAGAGCTCTTAAATACATGTACATAGATCCTGACGAGCTTCTTAAATAGAATATACCAAGCTTCATTTAATTTACAGAATCTTTTCCTGATCTTAGTGCTAGTAAGCACTATAGTTACCGCTAATTAAAAAGAAGTCTTTATTTATAACTTATAACTTTTCGCCGGAATAAAAGATCGATTAGTCTTTTTATCGATTATTTAATAAAACTATTCGATTTAAAGTTATTATGCGTTAAGAAAGCGAGTTTTTAAAAGCTATTAATTTCCGCAAAGCACTTTTAGAACTCTAAGAAGATAACTTTTCGATAAACAATTAAGAACTTTTTATATCTTAAGCTAAAATAAATATCCGGCCGGCTAATAAAGATTCTTTTAAAAATGCTTTTCGTATTTATTTTACGAACGCGAAAGTTAAAGAATATAATTACGAATAGCTGAAAAAGCTAAACGCGCTTATCTTAAGACTCAAGTTAAAGAATACGAGCAGCGCGAAAGCTTATAACGCTAATTAAAAGGAAGCTAAAGGCTTAGAGCAAAGCATTAATATATGTATTAAAGCTAAAGTAGGCTGCTCCATGGGGCCCCATAGGGCCCCACGGAGTTTTGGGTCCTCCTTACGGGGGAACCCACGGGGGGTACAAAATTCTGCTCCTCCCTATAGGGAAACCTTATAAGGCGTAGGGTTACTCTATAAGGTTTATATACATAAAAATATGCATATGCATAATTACTAATTAGGTTTACTAATCACATTTACTAATCACATTTACTAATCACATTTACTAATTACATTTACTAATCAGAGACTCAGAGTATTAATCAAATTTACTAGTTACAAAAGCCCAAGGGTTAGTAAAGACCCGTTCTTTAGCTTAAGTCTACTAGTTACAAAGAGTTGATAAAGACCCGTCCTTTTACAATTACGTAAAATACGTTCAACTCGATCTCCGCTTTTAGCCTAAGCTCTTGCTTGTAAGCATAGTTTAGATAAATCTCGTCTGACTCAAATAGCTTTCTTAGCTTTTAGCACTTGTTGCTCTACTTAAACTCATTTTCATCCGAAAACTTAAAAGTAAAGCGTTTGTATGCTAAAGTGCTATCGATAGTGAAAGGGTATAGCATCAATAGCTCTTTCAAGATGCTTTTAACTTCGGCATGATCGCTATCGAAAAGCTCAAGAGTAGGATCACTTAAGATCAATCGAACCTTAACATCTTTATAAATGAATTGCTTTCTAATTAAGTTGAGGAAAGAGATAAAATGGTCGAAGAGACAAAAGACTTGAGCGCTCTCTTTTTAAATAAAAAATCAATTAGTGATCATAGAATATAGATGTTATTACTAACCTTGTTAGCACTATAGTGCTTGATGCCGAACTCGTCGATAAAACTTTTGCGACCTTTCTATTTGTAATCGAGGCCGATTGGTCTTGGAAACAAAGCGGTATCCTCTTCGTTATAGCAAGTAAATATTGAATTAACAACGTTACTATTAGCATAAACGATTACGAAATCCTTATAGCGACTAAGTATCTCGTTGATTAGCTTGTTACTACCGGTGCTAAAAGGGTTGACCTCGACTATAGCGTTATAAAAGAAGGGAATCGACATTGTTAAATAAAGAAAATAATTAGCTTAAAGCAAAGAATCAAAAAGCAAAGAATTAAAAAGAAAATAATTACTTAAGTTGAGTATAGTTGTAATTAAGTGTTAAAGTTAATTAAAAAGTTAAGTGTTAAGGTTGAGAAGTTGAGTGTTAAAGTTAAGGTTAAGAAGTTGAGTGTTAAGGTTGAGAAGTTAAATAGAAAGTAGTTGTAATGATAATAAAAAAAAGAAAAAGAAAAGGAGAAGGAGCGAGTACTTATATAAAAATAAAAGTGTAGCTTAATCGTAATCGGGGCATTGCCTCGATTTATTAAAGGTAAATTATAATATTTAAAATAATGAATCGACGCGGAACAAAGAAAATAACGCGTCGCTTAATGATAATCGATACAATGCTTCGATTCAACAAAGGTGAATTACAATATTTGAAACACGAACTCGACGCGGAACAAAGAAAGAACGCTTCGCTTAGTAGATCTGATTAATAAATCTGATTAATAAATTTGATTAGTAAATCTGATTAATAAATCTAATTAATAAATCTGATTAGTAAATGCTGCACGGAAAGAAACCTTGCATACTGCACGTCCCTTTGCTATACGTGCTTAGCTCGGCTATAGCTCGACTATAGCTCGGCTATAGCACGTGCTTTACCGTACGTAATTTGATTAGTAAATCTGATTAGTAAATCTGATTAGTAAATGCTGCATAGAAAGAATTAACGTACTTAAAGCTGTTATACGTAACTTACGTAAAGCTGTCACACGTAACCTACGTAAAGCTGCTATACGTAACTTACGTAAGGCTGCTACACGTAACCTACGTAAGGCTGCTATACGTAACCTACGTAAGGCTGCTACACTTAACGTACCTAAAGCTGCTACACGTAAA